ATAATTTTTGGATCTAAACCCTGTAATAGCATCTATATATATATATATATATATATATATATATATATATGTATATGGATCTCTCTCACTCTCTCCATCTGTTTCTTTCTGTGTGTGTCTCTCCATCTCTCTCTATATCTCTCTCTGTAAAGATATATTCTTTTATATGTTTTTTTTTTTTTCCACTGGATGATTTCTAGCTTAACTACTTAAGGATGGAAATGAAGGTCAAATGTATGTAGAAAAGAATTCATTTAAAGGGATTTGTGACATCCGATAAACAATATAAAAGGAGACCCAGGCAGATCAAATTAGCCTTTTTTTTTGTACTTGAATTCTACTTTGTTCATCAGCTATGTTTAAATTAAAATTTTTTTGTTGTTGTATATTTTTGTTGCTTTTTTCTTATAACAAAAGACCTAAACGCCAAAGGAATCATCTTGAGAGCTTTTGACCAGTTCAGGGTGAAGTCATGCATCGACTTTAAACCAAGGGACACTGAGGAGTATTACCTTTCATTCCAAGGCGGATTTGGGTATGTATGCATCTTTAATGTACAGCTCATCAGCTAAGTCTGTAATTTTTTTTCATCAAGACTAACATTATTGTTATACTTTATCTTTTGTGTTGTCTGTTTTTGCTGTTTTGTTTAATTTTCTCTGTTTTCATGCACTCTCTCTCTCTCCCTCTCTCTCCCCTTAGTTCTCTTTTTCTTTTTCACCTCCTTTTTGTCTCTCTGTAGGTTGAATATGATTTTACTCCTTAAATCATTTTCTATAAACTTTAATATACAAGTATCAAGGTTCCACTTGATACTTGATAAAGTGGAACACACACACACACACAATAATAAGATAATAAATTCATTAATCATTATTTAACGAAAAGAAATCTGTGAAAAGTGATTTTTGCCATTACATTGTGTATTTCAGCTTAAATAGCAAAAACTATAGAATCTATTAAAAATACAAATGAAAAGTTGTGTTTCAGAGATATTTTATCTATTATTGTATTAATATGAGGAAACATTTTAATAACGGAAATACACACCCTTTAAATATGAAGTTCACAACCTCTGTCAATAAAGGTTTAGATTTATAGATACATATATAGTTATATAGATATATTTTTAAATACTTAGAGGGAGAGAGAGAGCGAGCAATGTATCTTTATAGAGATGTATATATAATAAAGAGAGAGAAGGAGGGATTACAAAGCTGGGTGTTTGAGTACTGATGATCTCCAGTAATAAATATGATCATTAAATAATGATTTTTTTCTTATTCAAGGTGTTGGTCATATATTGGCCAGTTACTTGCAAATGGACAGGATATCTCTGTTGGTTGGTTCTGTGATCACATTGGCATTGTGGAGCATTTGATTTTCCATTCTCTCGGCTTCTACCATGAAGAGATGAGACATGACAGAGATGACTATGTGAAGATTGATTTTGACAACGTCATAGCAGGTTTCGTACAGTCAATAGTTTTTTCTGTTTCACTATGTTGTTTGCTAGATGGTGGTGAATAAGGGTTTCAAGTGATTATTGCATTGGATGTATGATTAAAAGAAAACAAAAAGTCAGGCAAATATTGTGTAAATTTGCCTTCTATCCTAACTTCGGTGAGAAATTCATTTCTTAAACAATTTCAAGACCGATAGATTGTTTTTATTAATTGAAAAAAGTGAGTGATATTTGTCTAATTGTTATTTGGTAGATTTTAAGGAAGATAACAAAAATGAAAGACATTAAGTAAACAGTTTTTAAACTGTGAAAATTTTAAATACTTATGGAATAATAACATGTATATTTTATTCTTTCCATCAAAACTTATATTTGGTAATGAATACTTCTGTGTCATCTAGGTCAAAAACTTTATTTCACCAAGGTCAGTAGTTATTTGAGCACCACCCATGATGTGCCATATGACTACATGTCAGTGATGCACTCATGGAAATATGTTAGGAGCAATGGAAACGGCGCTACAATCATCACCAAAGACCCCAAATTCCAAAATGTGATTGGTCAAAGAATGGAAATGAGTCCCAGTGATGCTCAAGAGTTGAACCTTCTCTACAAATGCAGTAAGTCACTCAGTTATGATCATTCGAAATGTAAAAATAAATGTGCTTAGTTTCAATGTTAAACTTGTTTAAAGATGGTCAACATACTTTTAAATAAACTAGAGTTGAAATCCCTTAAGGACGACGGACAAGAAGAGTTTCAGTTTGATGTGTAGTTATTGTTTGCTGTCCAACAACTACATGGCATGTCTCAAATGAGCTATAAACAGCATAACTGTAAGTCATTGGAAAATAATTACAATTAGGATAATCTATAAGGTAACACTGGACTCAGATTTCCCATATTGTGGGGATTGTGTGGGGTTGTGTATGTATACTTTAAACTCATTTGTAATGATGAGAAAATGCAAAACTTGGTCTAAACAAAGAGTTAGTATTCAGAGTTTTTTTATTTATTCACAGATTCCACTGCTGCCTTTATGTTTTACTGTGACTTTTCTGATGGGACCATGTGCCATATGAGAAAGACAAACAGGTGTACCCATAGTGACAATGATTGGGTAGTAGTTTCACAAGTTAACCGGGGTCCAAGCTCTGACCATACCACCCTACCTGCAGGAAATAGAGATTATGGTAAGGACTGAAAGCCTATTTATTACATTTTATACTACAACATTTTAACATATATTATGAAATGACATATTATGCATTTTCTTAGCGACTATTTCTACACAAAATAAAAAACACAACTCTCGTTACTCATTGTCATACATTAAAATCATACTTCAGTGCTCATTATTTAGGTCATCTGGGAATACCAAAATTAGTTATAATTAATCAATAAAACATATTAACTAGCATCATTTGAAAACAATGAACATGCAACAAAACCTGTAATCGAATTCTGATAATAATAATCCTAACATGATACTACTGACTTAATACAATGCTATGGCTCGATAGATAAATTAAGACACATTTGGTCATATAAAGGAAAATAAGGTTTAAAAAATGTAATAAATGTTTTGGAATATTTAAATGCGAATTTTTCAAAATATAAATTATTCAGATCATTACATATTTGTAAAATTGTAAAAATTCCAATCTATCTAAATTACTTAACACAAGTAAATTTCTCCACTGTGAGATCAATAAAGTCAATCAATCAACAACAGGTTATTCATCTGACTTAAGTGAAAAAAGTGTCTTATCAGACCATGGGCTTTCACAAATGCGTCACATCAGATTCACCAAATGTTTTTAATTTCAATAAACAATCCTCGTAAAGCTGATGAAGTCTACAAATTTGTTCTTATGAATAGTTCTTAAATAAGCGAAGCGTACATCCCTGCTTTTAGCTGAATCGATGAAGGTAAGATATTACCAGAACATCATTTTTTAACCTTATCATTCAAGGTCAAGAAACAGGATACTTCATCCATGCCAGCACCGCATCAGGTCAAGAAGGAGATTCATCAAGGCTTGAAACCCAAATATTCACACCTAAAAGGGATTGTAAAATCCAGTGTCTGCAGTTCTATTATTTTCATACCGGAAATCAATCAGATGAACTAAACATCTGGATCAGAGAGTTTCAGGATGAGCAGGACACCATGGGAACTGTCTACCACATGGGACAGATCATTGGTAATGTCTTTGATGCATCAATATAAATGATACTAATTTACTTACACTATATTATATATAAGGCTTTTAAATAGTATTATTTTATTCTTTAACTGTTAGAATCTTTGACAAAATGCATTTTTTGCTTGTGCCAAGATGCTTCAATATTTTTTCATAGGAATGTAAAAACTCTGCCTCCAGGTCGACAAACAAATCACTGGCAGCTGCACTATGTTCCTTTGAATGCCACCAAAAACTTTCGAGTTGTGTTTGAGGTCCGAAAAGGTGCAGGGAACTCTACAGGTGGCTTCTCAATTGATGACATCAATCTCTCTGAGACCGAGTGTCCACATGCAACTTTGCAGATTGATGACTTTGAGACACTTTTAACCACTAGTGCCCTCAGAACTATAATCTATAGTCCACGGCAATACTCCAAGGATGGCTACGCTTTCCGAATAGCTGCTTTTCTCTATCAGAAATTTGTTGGAACATATGTAGAGCTTTTGTCTGGTGACTATGATAACCAACTGGAATGGCCTTGCCTGCAAAGGCAAATGACTTTCCGACTGCTGGATCAAACTCCTAACATGCAAAACGAAATGTCACAGCAATTCAGTTTTGTCTCTCACCCAAACCACATGTCTGAGGGTAGGTGCACCATCTAATGTAGAAAATTACAAGATAGTTATTTAATTCAAAATTATGTCCAATCTCAGGTTTTTTGTGTTTAAGACTTTTTTATTTGAACAGGTATCCATTGGTTTGACAACCCCCGTGAAAATGGAAGCATAGTTTTTTCTGAGAATGGTGAATCAGTCTATGGGGGAATCCTGGTTGGGTACAAATATTTTGCAACTTTGGAGGAACTGCAAACCAAAGAGTTCCTGAAGGGAGGGAGTGTTATTTTCACTTTTAGCTTTGAAGGTAAGTGGGCATGATTTTTTTCCCCCCTCAGAGTAAATTAAATTTACATATAAGATTCCTTTAAAACTAAAAAACCATACAAGCAACATATGTGCTTACTTAAAAGGTAGTTTAAGGGGATGCTACTTGGTATACTGTACGAAACACCTGGAATTTGTTGTTAATCTCGCAAATATCATGCATATTTTTTATAAAAATTGTAACAGTAAGTGTAACTACACGTTAGAACACATTTGCCATAAAAAGAGCCACATCAGCAATTTTTTGACAATTAAAAGTGACTTAGGCATTTACAAATATATCTATTACTTTTACTTTCTGTTATTTCTACATCTGAGATCCCGCAACTTTGTACGTGGTGACAAAAAGGCTGATGGTTGTGTCCCACTTCAGGTGCAGCATCCTGTGAATGACTGGTGTGTGTGAGCAGAGTCCTATGACAATCTAAAAACATAAAATATAATAAAAATGTGCTTCTAAAAAATATACCTCCTTAGGCCTATAGAATCCCCATTATTAGCTCAGATTTTTGTTTATTTAATCCTTGAGGAACCACAGCAGTTGTACAATGGCTGTAGGCATGTGAAGATGAACCAGTTATGCATCTCCCATGTGCCTGCAATAGAGTTGGATAAAATTATCTCATTTTGTTGCTTATCTTTGATTTAAACCAATATTTAATCATTAGAAATAAAAGTCTTTTAAAAGCCAAACAAAAACATTTTAATATTTCCTTTAACTAATGGGTGGTTTCAAGGCAATGAGCCGGAAACCACGTGCCTTCTCTGGGAGATGAAAGAAAGACCCTCCAGCCAGCTGGCAGGTGCTTAATGGCGCTAAGCAATGCTGATCATCCTTCTTAATTAGGTAGAATATTAGTAAGACAAGTAGATAATTTAGCTTAGGAAACCTACATCCTCGCTTTAAAACATCTTAAAAGAAATATTACAATTTTTTTCCACAATTTTTGCCCCTGTTGTTAACCATTGTAGCCCAAGGCTCTTCCAATCTGCTTTGACCCACAATGAATAACGCAAATGTTGCACAAATAAACAAAGGATACTCCAAATTCGTCCTCCAAATTGGTCAAAATTGGATGCATTTGTTGGCCCGAATTTGAAGGGGTCTTAGGAGGATTCGTAGATTGGGATCTCCCTTGGCACAGTGCTGTGATGTAATCTGCCTGCAAATGCGGCCTGCGAAGGATGCAGCCCCTAATCTGAAACCAACCCCTATATAAAAGATAAGACTAAAGCAGATAGAGATTTTGGACTGTAAAAAAGTTGAGGACACTTCCATAAACTGTTGATTAACATCAGAAGCAAACATTCTGAACTTCAGTCATTTCAAAATAAAGACACATTTAAAAAAAAATCCAAAATATAAATCAACTGAATCTTCTGTAATACCCATTACTACAACAATGTTGGCATTGCCATTGCTTTGAATAAAAAAAAAAGCTCTGTTAATCTCTTCAACACCAAGTAGAGACACGTGTAAAAGGAGACACATCATGATCCTGTTGGGGTTGGACCCATTAACAGTTATGGAGAACAAATAAAGAAAGTCACATTAATAAATAAAGAAACAACAGAAGGGCGAATAGGAAAATTGAAAAATGGTTCTATTAGATTTTAGCTTTACAGTTAACATCTGCACTTTATAGGAATTATTTGCATGCTGCAAGCCTAACCACTATGCCAAATTCAATACCAATTCCTGCCTTTGTATTAACCTAGTTGATTAGTTGATTTGTAGTACCTAACCATGTTCTGATAGGAGTTGGAAATATTTATTTTCTGTCCATTAACCTGGATTCCTGTGAATCTGTTTCCTATGTGTCCACATTTCTATCATCCTACCCGGCCCCTTATTACTGTCCCAGCAGATGTGAAAAGTTTAATGATAGCTTGAAAAATCTATGCGAGGGTTAAACAACAGAATGAACTGTATTTGTTTTTTTTTTTCTCTTAATAACTTGTTTTCTTATGGTAGATCTCACTCCTCTTGTCAATGGGAGCTCCTTGCCATGTCGTCAAGGGAAACCTCCAAAAATTACACATCGTTCCACAAACTGGGATGAAGGCCCATGTTTTTTTACAGGGTAAGCAACAGTGCCAATAATAACTTTAGTTTGACAAAATATTTCTTCCTAAAAGCTGATCAAACAGTTTACAACCTTAAAGAATTGCTGCTTTTGAAATCTGATTGGCTGCAGTAAAATAAATTGAAGTTCTCAATGTTTTAATCATTTCATTGTGCTTTGTTGTAGTATTTCTGGATTTTCTCCTGGTTTTGATGCCTCTCCCATCCTCATCCTCCTGCTGATAGTGATGCTTATGCTGTGATGATATACCGTGGACCTTTGATTCGAAAATTCTGCTTTTAGAACAAGAGTTTCTATGCTTCTATGTATTGTTTGTTTAAAAATAAGAGTAAAAGCAATGGTGGTGGGTGGAGTTTTCTCCAGGGGGGGGCTATGACTTCGAAATAAGCGTATACCAAAAACCAATCAAATGTATACAAAGGCATCTCCTACGATGAAAAAACAACATTATAACATTTTCTGAAAAGTGCTTTAAATCACTCATGCTTGTCTTTATACATGCTGGGATTCTGACATTTGAAAAAGGAGGCAGGGAAAATAGAATAAAGCGTTAGCCTCACTGCATACATTTAGCCAAGCCTTGTTGCCAAATAATTCTTTAAGTCTATGGGCAAAGATTTTTGCTCCTCAAGGCAGAAATACGTCACCAATCCGACAATGAACGAAACAGCTTTACTCATCATTAAACAGAAAATATTTACTGGCACATCCTAAAAATATATGAATATATTTAGAAATATTTCAGTTTCATAATTTAATTTTTTTTATTTGGATTTTTTATGTAATGATAAGGATTATTGGGTGAATGGGGTGGCGCTAGTGCCCCCTATTGCCCAGCTCCCAGTTATTAAAAGGGAACACTGTACAGCAGACAAACTGTTAAGCATAGAAATAAATTTTTCTTTGATATATATGTATATATACATCTCTTTAAAATATTAGAGTATGGATAAACAAACTTTTGTTTTTTCATTAAGGAAGGCTCAAAGTTCTATAATTTTCCTGGAATTGTATTTTTAATTTGTGCTTACCTGTATGCTGCCATTTGCCTTTAGCTTTGTCATTGATGCACCAGAATTTTCCCACTGTGGGATAATAAACTATTTTGCTATTCTGTATTTCTGTTCTTTCCTATGGGTATCTGGGGTTGGTGTCTTAATAAATTAAATAAGAGTAAAGAGAGCTAAATAAAAAGACCAAAACAAATGTGCTACCTTCTCTGCATGAACAGTTCTCAAACTGTCACAACTCTTTAATCAATGTCTCTTTTGCTGAGCATCATCGTACAGTCTTGCCAGAAAGGCTGACAACGTTATCTGAGGTTGGAAATTACAGAGCAGAGAGAAAATACACAAACATTAAAGGATTAAAGGAGAGATAAGTAAAAATATGTACCATACAATTAATCAAAATTAGTCTAATTCATCACCCAGTATGGGAGCAAGATTCATCCAATTGGGGCAAATTGGTAAGGACACGCCAAGTGGAAGTGCATCAGCAGGTGCTATGATAAGTGTTGTCCTAATGGGCCAAACAGTAAGGAAGTAGGGAGGGGAAAAAACAGGACGCCTTCTATCTATCAGTCCTTCAGCATAGAAACCTTGCAATGTTCCTTTTTGTTGCATAAGAATTGTGCAGTTGCCCCCAATTCTTTGCATGACATAAAGGCACAACTGGGCTCATGGAGTATAACAAAAATACATTATTTATGTATGCTCACAGTCGTAGCTTTTGGGCTTTATAATGGGGAGCTTCAGCCATTCGCTGCATACAGTATATATAACTTGTTTTTAGTTTTCATTTTTGGATGATATCAGTCCTGGTTTTTTGCTTGTATCATCCATCTGTCCAGTAATTACATCCATAAGGCAAAGGCTGTCTGGATTTACCACGGCAGTCCTAAGTTCCTTTTCTGCCTATGACTGTGTTCTTACTGTTGGCAAAAGGTGATGCAATGGAGCTAGGACAAACTCCCTATATTCTGGGCTCTGGGTGTGGTGTCCTAGACCTTTTAGGTTTGTCTCCGTTTACACATCTTTATTTTCACCCCTAAACCCGGGGGTTCCACTGAAAGCGTAGGCGTAGGAAGAGTCAACGCCACGGAACATCCAGGCCGTGGATTCTCTCAAGCAGCTGCAGAAAACATATTAGCTTATAGGGATGATTAACAAATATACAATCAAGACATTTTATTTCACCTTTCAAATGTACCATTGTTTTAAGAACTGTGAACTTGTGAACTTTAAGACTGCACAAAGTTTGCTACCAGTCTGAGGGATAGCTTAGGTCTTAAAGAAAACCATGCATACAGATTCAGCTACTAATGTTTGTAGCTGCAGACCAAGAAAGAATAACATAACTCCCTCTGGCTCCAAGATACTTGTAAAGGAAAGTTCTTCATCCAGAGGGAGGCTCCAGGCTGGTCAAGGTGTCTATTGTGGGAACAGACTAATGAGTATACAATGTATATCTTTAAAAAAGATAAGGTGACTTAAAGTTATTCAGGCTGCTTCTTAAACGCTTAGGGAAAGGTTTGCGATGCTGTCTCCCTTGGATTTCCATTAAAATTAAATGTTTAAATTTCTCTCTATCAACCAAGTTATTCCTGGGGAAGTGATGTAGGAACAGAATATCCTGTTATTTCACCTTAAAGGTATTGTGGAGGATGGAGCAAATCTGTTTTTAGATTCATCACTAGTTCCTTTTAGAAAGCAAAAAAGACAAAACATTTCTAGATTTTGTATAGAGGATTTATATACTGCATAATTATCTAGGAATACACATTTGCTTTAAGGTATAGTGGAGGATTTTCACGAATCTTTGAGAAGACCCGCCCTCTCCACTTAAAAAAAAAAGCACATAAGCCTTGTACACTCTCCTGAGAGGGAACGCCTATTAACCGTGTGCGAGAGCGTGCACGAGCCCATTTCTCCTTGTGCATGCTCCGTTTAAAAGTTGCTGTTTGCATTGGTCATACAAGCTTACTTTAACAGATTTAACAGGAATGTCTTCATAGGAAAACTGATATGCTTTTTAAATGTGGTATCAGAACCAGGAATATTAAATATGCTGTTGAAATTGTATTTTTTTTCCTCATTTTTCTGTTGACCATGACAAACTTCAGTACACAAAGTTCATCCTTCAGGTGATATATTGCCTATGCATTAAAAACAATATATTTTGTGTATTTACAGTGAGGTTTAAAATTTTGTTTTTCAGTCCAAAGGAAATCAACTCTGGCACCATGATGCATTTACTAAGTGCAATGAAACAGGAGTGTCTGGTTTGATAAAATCCACACTAACTGTTGTAAACATACGGGAGGTCTTGTAAAAGACATTGCAAAAAGCTGATTTTTATATATAAAGTATTAGTGATCCTTGAAAAATAAACAATGTGTCCCTTCTCTGAATGTTGAGTAGTTGCTTAGATCTACCAAAGTTTTTCAGTTAGTTTGACAAAGTTAAGAAAAAAATCAAATGCTTTGGACTGAAACCAGACCTAGAGCGTGTCACCTTTCTAGATCTTTTAAAAGGGGTCTGATCTAATTCAGCCCAATAGTGAGATTCGATTCAGCAGTCTGAACAGCCAGTAAAACTTATCCATGTCTTTGGGGCCTTGCCTGGGGTCAAGGCAAGGTCCCAGAGAGGATTCTGAGCTCCTGCCTCTGCAACCTAGGTACCAAGCTGAGGTCATGAAGTTACCCAACAAAATAATTCTTCTTACAATCACTTCTAATTTAGTAACTGACAGTCAAAGATGAATAGATTTAGATCTGAATAGAAAAGCTGATTTTTATAAATTGGAGGACTAGACAGATACCTTTGACAATAGAGTGTATTTGTTCTCTAACTGTAATATATCAAATTGTGTTATTGTAAATGCATACAACCTTATCAATTACGGGGTTCATCATGCATTTTTACATTTCTTAAATGAAATTTGTTGAATTTCTATAGCATTTTCTATGGTTTAGTTGCTGGAGATGTTTAACATCTAGGATGTTTTATCAGGTTCTGATGAGTAAGCTTTCATTACGCCTCTAAAACCTGCTTTCTGTGAGCTGCATATATTCACAGTATGGTTGCAAATGAGTTTTCCCAGGGTTTTGACACAGTTACAAGACAGTATTTCCTGCCATGAATCAGTCAAGGAATAATCAAAAGTTTCTCAAACTCAAAATTTAATTCATGATAAACTTTTAGAAGATAAAAAGAAAAAAAAGCATCTTTAAAATTTGACAGCTGGGACTTTTCCATCAAATCAATCCAGTATCCTGTGTTACAGTAGATATAGAAAAAGGTCAAACTAACTCTAAAATATTTAACTGCTATGTAGCTAAACTCTACCTTAATTAATGGGAATACATTTTCAGATACACCCAGCTTTGACAAAAAAACAAAAACAAAAAAAACTCATCAGGTGTAGAAAACTTAATCACATTTATTTCAATCCATACATGACGATATATTATGTCTTACTGTACCACTTACTTTAATTTTCACATCACGTGATCTCATGCATCAACCTGAAGCCCATCGATAAACATTCTAGCCTCCAATTCACCACACATGAAAGACATTTGTGCTACAGTATGTAGGCATGGCTTGACCAGTCCTGGCTCCTTGGTAGTTCTCTTTTTTTCTCCCCATCAGCCCCAGAAATCACAGTAGTAAAAGAGTCTTTGAATCCAATTCCTAAAACGTAGTTCAGCTTCCTGTGTGTCTCTGTGCCAGTCCAAGCCGTGGTCTGTAGGTGGTTCCAGTCGCCCCATCCACCTTTACCCAATAGTGACTCCAAAGCCACATTGGAACTTGTTTTTGCGATGGTTGAGGAAAGCCCCCAAAGCCAAAGTAAGAGGCAGAGGTACTAGTTTCTTTTCAAGGGTTGCCCCTACCACCCAATTACTGTCAATCGTTCCTGAAGGGAAAACAGAAGGGCATTGAGAAAAAGTTCAGTCTTTCATCTATGACTCAGGATGGATGAAACTGAAGGCTTCATATTTACCTTTAAAAAGCAAATTGGCTTTGGGAAGGTCCAGTTGGTAACCAAAAGATGCTGAAGTGTCTTGCATCCTTGTGCTGGCTTCAAATTCAACTCCTACCTGTAACTATTTCACAATGGAGTAAAGAGAAGAAAAAAAAAAACATACATTACAGGCCTAGTAATATCCCACATTAGTTGATTACGCTCAAAGGATGTATAAGCAATTAGGAGGCTTCGACTAGCCATCTCTAATTACATCTGGAACTTAGCTCTGAGTTTAAACAACTATAGTCTGAGTTTCAGGACAGGAGATTTTAAGTATCTGCATCCACATTCTGACTAACAAGGAGAAGTTAAATATTTATAATTATTAACTTGATAAAATATAGTTCTAGGCATCTCCAACTTACTTTTGCATGGTCATTGCTTTCCATGTCATAATTCATTTAGCGATATCTAAATCAAATCTGCCATGAATTTAATGCAGATATCTTGAAATGAGGCCTCACTACAACTAAAAGGTAAATCAGCTAATTATGCTCAGGTTTCTGAATATTATGCATTGAAGTCTATTCGTCTATTCTTTTCCTTATGCTCTTTTAGCCATTAGGAAACTTATACCAAGGTTTTAAACTGCAATGTATATATTACTAATTGCTCTTTACTTTAGTGCCCTCTGGTGGAAAACTTAGGGATGTGTTTTTTACTAC